TGATCACAGTGATGGGTGAGCCACTGCTCGTAGCAACCTCTGTACAGCAGAATGAAACACTGCCTGGGCTTGCACCCGCTTCCCCACTGTTCTTACGTTGAGCTCATTGTTGCGGACACTGTGTCCATCCATCTTGTTGACAGATTTTCACACCCCTCTGATTTACCAAACATAACGCCCTTCTTTAGGGACCGGTCTCTAAAGGTGTCCAAGTTATGTGAGAGAGCCTCTCACGCTCCTGGCCTCTAAGGTGCATTTTCTGACTGCTCTTCCGTAACAGATCTGTTTGTTCTTTTGGCAGTCCACGGTACTTTGATTATTCTTCTCCAATACCATAGTTCAAATGCATCCATTTTTCCAGTCTTCCTTATTAAGTGTTCACCTTTCACATGCACATGAGGCAATGAAAAAGACTATGGCTTGAGTCAGATGCACCTTAGTCCTCAAAGTAACAGCCTTGCTTCCCACCACTTTAAAAACACCTCCAAAAAGCAAATGGTGTCCTTGTGGGTTTGTCCTTTTGTTCATTGGTTTGCATCTCAACCGTGGCTTTCTGAGCTCCCTCTCCCCTCCATTGCCACCCCCGTGCCAGGCCCATGCTGAGGCCTGGGACAGCATTCCTCCCTCCAAAATGTACTTTGACTCAGAGCAACCCAGGGGAGAACTGCCTGGTGGGTTTCCCAGACCGTACATCTTTATGGGAATAGAAGCCTCATCTTTCTCCCAAGGAGTGTCTGGTAGTTTCAAACTGCCAATGTTGAGGTTAGCAGCAAAAGATGATAGCAAATAAATGGAGAGAAGTCTTCTCATCATCTTTAGTCATTAAAGAAATGCAACTTACAACACCTTGAGATTCTAATACCCCACCCACTGGGCCTGTGCCCTTGAGGGATGAACTTGATTAATAGCCACGCCCAACAGAACAGAGGAAGAGGAAACTGGTTTTACTAAGAGTCTAGTCCTTAGAGTATTCTACTGAGCCAAGACTAGCTTAGCAGGTCATCCCAATTTCTAATTGATACTGCTACTGGTTTCTTCTAACAATATTGATCACATTTGACATATAAGTGGTGAGCTATAATTCTTTTAAAAAAAACCATTTTATTGAGGACCCTAACAGCTCTTGTAACAATCCACACATCAGTGATATCAAGAACATTTGTCCATAGCTTGCCATCATTATTTTCTAGACATTTATTTTTCTATTGAGCCCTATAATGCTTAAAATATGTGACAGGCTACACAAAGCCACAAGACACAGGATGTACCTCAAAGAATAGCATATTGAGAAGCAAGGATGTTACTTTGAAGACGAAGGTGTGCCTGACCCAGGCCATGGTATTTTCCATATTGCTCCATACGCATGGGAAGCTGGGCGTTGAATCAGGAAGACTGAAGAAGCGGTGCATTTGAACTGTGGGGCTGGAGAAGAATAGTGGAAGTACCAGGGACTGCTCAGTGGATAAACTAACCTGTCTTGAAAGAATTATGGCCGAATGCTACTTAGAGGCAAGGATGATGGGACTTCACGTATTACAGTCATGTTGTCAGGAGAGGCCAGTCCCTGAGAAGGACATCCTGCTTGGTAAAGTGGAGGGGCGCCTCAAAAGAAGCAGACCCTGAAGGAGAAGGACTGACACAGGGGCTGCAGCAATGGAATCAGGCACAGGAACAATTGTGAGGATTGCGCAGGACCACACAGTGCTTTG